AATATTTTAACAATAAAATACTTCAAAAATTAAAATTAATATTTTATAAAATGGTTAGTCATGTGCTTAGATGAGTTTTAAATAAAAGGGAGCTACGTGTAAATTTTAATAGATCGACTTATTTTTCAATAAATCATACGATAATTAATAATGTTTTTCATGAAACATCATTAAAAAAGTTATTAATTGTTAATTTTTAATGACAGTTTAAAAATTTTATCACAAAAAATGTTACTAATTATAAGTTTTAGCGACAATTGAAGAAATAATTACAAAAAACGTCACTAATTTTTAACTTTCAACGACAATTTGACAATTTTGTCACTGAAAAACGTCGCCAATTGTAAGTTTTAGTAACAATTTATAAAAACCGTGACCAAAAAAAGTCACTAATTATCAATTTTTAGTGACATGTGCAAAAAATGTCACAAGATTAATTTTTAGCGACTATTTTAGTATGACTTATTTTTAATAGGATTTTATGAGAATTAAATCTAACTATTTTGACCTACTAGTAATTTATCTTTTAAATAAACTAGAAATTAAATTTGGAATAAAAAGTACTAGAAATAGATTTGCCAAAAATCAATTAATTTAATATAATTATAAAATTTTGCCATTTTTAATGGTGTTTGTGGGTACGAGAATTTTTTGGTTAGTGTTTGATGAGAGTAGTATAGGAATTTTGTTCAATTCTATAGAGAAGTGGGAATTTAATGAGTGTCTATCTCATATCGCTCCGTAAGTAAATCACACTCCATTACATAAGTTGATTAATTAATGAAGAGTTGATTGCTTGTTGACTAATATCATCCACATCGCTCCATGAGTAAATCACACTCTACTACATAAGTTGACTAATTAATGAAGGGTTAACTTCTTGTTGACTAATTTCTTCAAATTAGGACAAGGCATGGGGAGTTGACTACTTGTTGACTAATTCCCTCAAATTAGCCCAAGGCATTTTGTTAAGGGAAAAACAAAATCGTGAAACCTTGTGCTAATTTGAAATAGTTAACCAACTTATATAGTGAAATGTGGTTTACTCTCACAAATTCTATTTGGTTTATCAATCTCAAGTTGAAATTTAATTAAATAAAGTAAGTTGTGTAAATAACAATTAATAATCCGCAGAAGCTAATAAAATTCTTCAATATATGGTTGCTTGGATCTCTCTTGAGGGTTTGGGTTCGAGTCCCGGCAGTGGAATGGAATGTTTTGTCTTTTTTATTTTGGTGGTTTCATATTTTAAAAACTCTTATTAGACCAATTTTTGTTTGTTCTAATAAGTTTTTTTTTTCATGTTTTTATTTTTAAAAAAAAAAACTTTTTAGATGCATCTAAACATAATTGAAAACCCAAACAACATGTGTGCACTTTTGTTCATATTTTTGTTTGCCTTTAGCTATTTCTTTTCATATTTTAGTCAATATTTTTTTAAAAAAAAAATTTAGACGCATCTAATCTTAATGTATCCAAAATTTTTATATTTTAAATAATTATTGTAAATAGATGGTTGTTTTTATTTTCATTAAATTAGTTTTCATTTTTTCAAAAGATAAATATGGCGACAATTTTGATATCATTATTAAACTAATACATTAAATCAAAAAATCCAAGACAAAAAACATTTCGTATGTTAAATATATCGATTACACATTAAAATCTGAACAACCACTCATTAGATGATCATTATTCAAACACATAATAAAAATTAATTTGGTAAAATAAATAAATAAATATATGTTTAAAAGATTTATCAATTTTACACAATTTTATATTTGGTGGATAGAAATAATTTTCAAAAATTTAAAAATATTTTTTTGACTTTTTTTTTGGGTCAAATTAGTTTATATTTTATCAAATTGATGATTTTGCTCTTTAAATTAAGCAAAGGTATCTTTAATTATTTTTATTTGAAATAAAATTTAAAATTTAAAATCAAATATGTCATAATTAAAAAATTAAGAATTAAAACGACACGAGTCCCAAACCATAAATACGGTTAGTGTAATTGGCTCATTGTTCTTAGCTGAGTTTACTACCCAAGGCATGGGCTTCGCACTCCTCAAAGTCCCCAATCATGGAGTGAATCTAGTTCTGTTAGACATTTGTTTTCTATTATGACTTGGACTCTATCATCTGAGCTAATACTAAAGTAATTTGTTAATTTATTATGTTTCTAATTTTTGAAATTTTTTATTTTTTATTTCTGGTATTTAAAATTATTAGTTAGTGTTTAATGAGGACATTAGTTTGGTTAGAGTTGGGCAAACATCCATTTGACTGGTTAAAATTGAACGGGCTGAATCAATTTGTCATAAAATGTATTATTTCAATGATCTTAGACAAATGCATAGGGGTGTAAATCTGACCCGGCCCAACCCGACGCACTCAGGCTCCTGCCAAAATTTGGGCCGGCCCGGCCTAACCCACAGGCCGAAAAATTATGCCCAGGCCCTGGCCTTGGCCTTGGACCTGGGGTATTCAGGCCTTGGGCGGGTGGATGGGCCGGGCCTCGAGCCGGCTCGGTGGACCTAGGCCTAGCCTTAGGCTTCGGCAGGCCTAGCCATTTTTTTTTTTAATTTTTTTCTACCAAAATTTTATTATTTTTTACTAAAAAAAGCACTGGGCCTCGAGCGAGCTAACCTTGAGTGAGCCTTAAGCGGGCCAATGGGTTAGGCCACGGGCTGAGTCAGGTGGGCCGGGCTTCAAAATGATGGCCCAGGCCCAAGAGCAGGGGCTCGGGCTAGGCTTGGGCCCAAACGGGCCAAGCCCATCCCAGGCCATTTTTACTCTCATACAAATGCGAATGCATTTTTTTCAAAACACTTAAGTTCAAATGGATGGTAGATGGGAGGCCACCCTACCCAGAGTCCAGAACCTCTCCAACTAACCTCTCAAACCCTTCCTCCGATCAAGGGCCAAGATTTAGCCATGTCACTTTGGAGAGGATGTACGGCTCAGATCAAATTAGCTTTAAAAAAAATAAAAAATTGGATTTCACTTCATTAGACAGCAAAACATAGCTTCCTTTCCATTCACTTTTTCCCTCCCTCTTCAGCTCTAGTAAATGACGATGCCATCTCCTGACACCGAAGGCGGCGAGTCCAAGTCGGCGACGAACATCGATGGTCTCTTCCTCTATCTTATTCTGCAGATTTCAACCGCGATCTCTCTTGAGCTCTAGTGAATGACGACTTCATGTCGTGACACCGACGATGGCGAATCCAAGTCGGCGGTGAACATCGACGATCTCTCTCTCTCTCCCTCTCCCTCTCCCTCTGTCTTACTCTGAAGATTTCAGCCACTATTTCAGTCGTTTACCAAAGTTAAGGTAATATGTTTTTTCCCGTTGTTTCCCCCAAATAATCTGCCATTTTCAAAGCTCACTGTTCAAATTCTGGCAACTTGTTCTCTTTGTTCTATTGTGGATCATCAACACACTGGAGTCATGTAGAAATTCTGGCATATTGTTCTCTTTGGGTTGAAATGTTTAGTGAAATGGAGAATGTAGTTGAAGTAATGATGTTCTCAAATGCATCACTTGGTACATGAAATAGGCTATATTTTTGCTATTTAGTGAAATGTTAGAGGATTACTCGCAGTTCCTCCAGTTTTTGTTGTTTTCATTTTTGCAAAGCTATATTTTTGTTGTTCTTCCAAGCTATATTTTTGCTGTTTAGTTATGATGTTCTCAAATGCATCACTTGGTACATGAAACATGCTATATTTTTGTTGTTTAGTGTAATGTTGGTACATGTTCATTTTGTAATTAAAATTTTATATTACTCATATGGAAGATTGGAGGAACTATATACCAAGTGAACAAGTAAATGAAACATGCTGTAAATTAGTTTAGTGAAATGTTTATATTACTCATATGGAGATTGGAGGCCATATTTTTGCTGTTTTGCACTTATGGAGTCTATGAATGACAAATGCTAACGTTAGAGGAACTATGTACTATTGGAAATAGAGCTTTAGTAGGCAGAGTTAGGCAAATTGTAGTTGACAAAGTAAAAAACTAGGTTATGGATAATATTCAGATGTTATTGATCTTGAATTTGTGTGCAAAATGGTAAATGTAGCAATTCTTGTGTGATGTTTTTTTATTTGATATACCTTAAATGGTCTATGTTGCCCCTTTTGGTTGGGTCGTGCACTTTTTTAGTGATGCTCTATCTGTTTTGCATTCACCGAAGGTTGTTCTTTAGGTTAGAAAAAAAAATAAATCTAAGATTGCAAAAGAAAAAAAGAAGCAAGAACATCTTTTTGATGGGTTGGACTCTCTAGCAAAAGTTGTGGAAATCTAGCTAGGTCATTTGGTGCATTGATGTGCTTTTTCTATGGTTGAATGAAGAAAATTTTCCTAAGAGATGTCTTGATGTGCTTTGCTATTTGATATTTTTTGTAGGTCAATGTCAATGTCAATGTCAAGCACAAATACAAGTATAGGTAACATTCATGAAATTAGATTCGATAACCACAATTGTCGATGTGGCAGCAAAGCTATGGTTAAGATTTCTTAGTCAACGGATAACCCAAATCGCTTATATTTTGTATGACACCATTCATCGAATGGCTGTAAGTTCTTTGAGTGGTGGATCCCTCCACATATGAAGCATAATTTGAAGATGGTCGAGAATGATATTCTTGAAGAATGCATGGATGTCTTGTCTACTCTTAGAGAAGTAATTATCTTGAATAGGGACCTCAAAGACATGACTGTGAAGAGTAAGAAACAATATAGAGACTTGGCAATAGTAATCGAAAGATTTGGTGATAAATTGAATTACACCTTTGCTTTTATTGTTCTGTTGTTGGTGGTAGCTTGTCATTTATGAGTGTTATACCAAATCATAGAAGGTTGTGCAAGGGAATATCCCCTTCTATAAATAGTGGCCCACTCTTCGTTGTTAAAAAAAAAGAATTGCCTCATATGGAACAACCTACAAAGTGGCATGCATTCTTTGTTATTACTCATATGGAAGAAATTTGACTTTGCCTCAAATTAGAAGAATTGCCTCTTAGCAGGCAAGCATTGCACACAGAAAATGAACTAGATATTAAATTCTACAAGAATCCAAGTGCATTTATCTCCAAATGCTACTCAAATTTTACAACAATCGAAATGCACTCATCTCCACATGTTGACTCCAAAAGCCCCAAGTTTTACTACAAATGGACTAGAACATAAACTAAAAACAAAACATTCAGCAGATTGTGAAACACAACCAGCAGCAAAACATCACAAATAGCAACATCAGAGTCATCTCCTATGCTTGAAATTTGAAGTGCCTTCCACCTCTTCGTGGCCATCCAAACCCTGAAAAAAAAAATTGAAATAAAACAGCAACATCAAAGGCAATAAATTAATGCAATTACAGCACAAAAAAATTGCAAAACAGCACCAAAACAACAGCATTTTCAACAGCAACAAATAACAGTAATTTCAACATAAAAAAATGACAAAAAAACAACAGCAAAACAGCACAAAATCAGCAGCACTTTCCAACACAAAATAACAACAATTTAGCACCATTTTCAACAGCAACAAAAAAATTAATTTCTGCACAAAAAATGACCAAAAAACAACAGCAACACAACACAAATTCAGTAGCACTTTCCAGCACAAAATAACAGCAATTCAGCACCAAAACAACACCATTTTCAGCAGCCACAAATAGCATTAATTTCAACACAAAATTCAGCAAAAACAATACCAATATAGCAGCAAAAGTACCTCACTACACAATAGCAAATTATTTGTTAGTCGAGAATCTATATTTGAGGCTTGAGAATCTTGAAACCCAATGTCATACCCACCTTGAAATAGTGTCATAAATGTTGGTTGAACACAATATGTCAAATTGTTTACCTACAATGAATTCATATTATATTAGGCTTCATAACAAGATGCAAATGACCATATTATACCTACACACAAAATAAAAAAAAAAAAAAAACTAATTGACAAAAACTCAGTAACATTATATGTCGGATATATGAATGGAGGAGGAAATAAAGTACCACCCATGGCAAAGGAATGAGGAGGAGAAGGGGGAACAAGAGAAGGATAAAGAGAAGTAACATTTTCATGAATGTAGACGTCTCCTCCAACAGATAATGGAGAAGGTCTCACTGTTGGAGCAGCAACAGGTTTTGATGAACTCACAAATTTAGCACGGGATTATCTTTTAAAAGCTTGCTTGTAATTCCAGCTCACATGGACCTTTTATCCTCCTTTTGCCCTTACTAGTTGGATGTTTTTTCTTCAATCTTGTTGGAATTTGCACAACATGATTGTTGTCTTCAGAAGCCACTTCCAAGCTTTGAGGTTGATCATCAATACTTACTTCTTTTCGGTACAAAAATGGGCACTTAACTTGCTTTCAACATTTGCACCTAATGAAGCGACTTGTGAACAACAAAAATCATAAGTTTCCTCAGTTTCAACAGCTCTACATGCTATTGCTCTAAATGTGGTCATCAATGTCTTATACCGTGAGGCTTGTTGGAATTTGGCATCTACTTGAATCTCATTCCCCAACTTTTCCTTTACAGCTTTTGTTCTTACTTGTTTGGTCCACCTCTTCATAATGTATTATAAAAGAATCTCTTTCAACTTCAATATTTCTCTCATAACCTTCAAACAGTGACTGCACAAAATCTCTTTCCTTTCAAACTTTGTACAACTGCAAGGCAAAGAGCCATCCATCTTCATCTTCACTTTCCTCGCATTTTTCCCAATAGCATCAACAATTGTGTATGGGCTATAACCATCATCGTATTCAATTGCTTGTATGTCTAATTCAACAGAAAGAAAATACTCATCTTGAAACTTCTCAAAAATATTTTTAGTGTACACATTACCCATTTGACTTGACATTATGAATGGCGCTCTCACCCTTGGCAATCTTTGGCATAAAGCATATCCAACTTCTAACTCCTTGTACTGCTTTTCACAAAATACCCTTTCAAAATGCATGAAGAATTCATTTAAATTAAAATCAGAACGAATATAATCCTTCAAAAACGCATTAAAAGATTCACTAAGTTATGTTGTACTCATTCCCGCAGCCCATGTTGATCTAACATATGGCCAGCCCTATTTTTCCTTCACCCCAAAAGTTAACTTCAATCAATGATTATCATGAACATCATATGTATTAAGCATTTCCCCTCACTTCATTTTCCATTCATTTTCATCCTTAATATCAAACGTGAATCGATTTAATACACCTTTCACACCCCCTTATCTTCAAAAAGACAATTAACATTCCTTAATGCATTTTGTAGTAGCCTTTTTATCTGGTACTGCTGCTGTGCCAAATTTTGCTTTAGCACGGGCGCTATCTTTCTCTACTCGGATATGTTGATGCACCTTCTCCATTAGGGCTTCCATCGTGAGGGATGGCATCATGGTAATTGAGTCCCTCAATTTATTTCCGTCTGGTAAACCTCTCTTGTATTATGCGATGGCGAGATTTGTAAGGTAATCCCCAATCTGGTTGAAAGTCTCCCAATATCGACTGTTGTAAGACCTCAACGTCTCTCTTTCGCCTATGTCAATGGAGAGTAGCTGATCAATCTCCACTGGTGTCTTGGTGTTCGTCCTGATTCTGGTCACAATGCTTCTACCAGTTGTGCCCATGAAGCGATGCTGCCTTCAAGCAGCCTTTCGAACCAGGTTAGACCTAGGTCGCCAAGGCTGGATGGAAACAGCATACACATTAGAGCCTCGTTCCGCCATAACTTGGCGAAAGTGGTTTAAGTGCATGTAGCGGTCTAACTTCCCTTCATAAATAGTGAATTTGGGCTGATGGAAGCCTGAAGGTAGTGGTGCATTCTCTATTGCCAGAACGAATGGCGAGCTCTGTAGCCTTGCTAGTACTTTATCTACTTGTTCACAAGCAAAGCACGACATTGGCATCCCTACCTCGACACTCATATGTGTCTTGGGGGCCAATCGCTGCAAGGCTGAAACTTTGTGAGGTCGCGAGCCCTGGTGTTCTCCTTCCGTCGGGCCCTCTCCTCGAGCACTGTCCGCAAGTCCACTGACCTAGGCAACTCCGTGTGCCTAGATGTCGTTTGATGCGTTTGCGAGGGGTAATAGCTGCTTCCTTCTATATATGACCTTTCAGTCTTCGTTCTTTCAGACCTGGAGTGACAAGTCCTGGAAGTCCTTGATTGAGTATCGCCTGTTCTAAGGCTCCTACTTTCGGCTTGCGATGGTGTAGTATGTCTGCCACGACCTTCCGAGTGGTGAGGGGGCGTGTTGCCTTTGTGCCCCTCTCCTATTGCCACCAATTTTCCCTTTATCTGGTGCTTCATTGTCTCCATGTCCGCTGCCATCCTCCTTATTAAATCGTCTTGCTCCCTCATGCGATCCTCCAAGACTTGAGGATCTAGCCTTCGCCTCTATCTCTCAGGACTTTGAGAGCGACAGGGGCTAGTGCCTCGTCTCTTCCTCGTGTCCCTCCGGGAGTTTTGTCGCTGGGGTTCTAAATCTGCCATAGGAAGGATAGAAGGTAAACCTTCGCGCCTCACACCCCCCTCCGGGGTTTGCCCATCAATAACGGATTGCGGCAAGTCTTCATTGTGCGCCATTGCTTTCAATTAGAGAGGAAAACTTGATCAAGAGGTTTTGTTCTTTGTGAAATTCCCACAGACGGCGCCAATTGTATGAGCACGAAATAATTCTTCTCGTATAATCCTGTTGATCAAGTGTGCGCTCCTCCAAACGTCGTCGCTTTACTTCCTGAAAACACAAACATGAACTAGCCGGCGGGTGTGTGCCGGAAACCCCTCTGATGCCTAAGTCAGCAAATAGACAATAGACAAAAACTCTGTGTATTTAGGAGTAAAAATTGTGATACATGTCCATAGGTTCTGTTATGAGCTTTTATAAACTTTGTCTGGCACAATCCTAGTAGGATTCCAACTCTCCTTATAAGAGTCATCATAGGAATCACACACCCTACTCACTACCAACCAAGTGAGATGGTTTGCATAATCCCAATAGGACTCTACTCTCCTTAGCAGAGTCCTACTAGGAACTCATGCCCAAGGATGATGTTTATCCTTAAAACACCCTCATCACTACTTTAACCAAGTGAAATGATTTTACCACGGTAGTATGACAGAATGACCGAGCTAACACACGCTGATGCAGTAGATTTCACCGAGCTTTCCTTAGTTCGGTTCTACCTCGCTTTACCTAGCTCGGTTCCTCCTTTTACTGCACCGCTCCCTATACTTCGGCCCAGAATACTCAAACCAAGCTATTTCTGCCACTCATGACCGAGCTAACTAAGCCCAATGGTGAAGCCCATTCTACTCAGCCCACAGCTCAGCTTACTTCTCTCAATCCTAGCTCGGCCCAAATTTACACATTTTACCCTCTCAGGACCATTTGCATAATTTGCTCAAAATTTAATTCAAAAAACTCAAACCAAACACACACATTAATATTTAATTAGTTTGTTTAATATGTTTCTAGTTTTTGGCATTTTTAATGATTTCTTTGGATATGCAAAATTATTAGTTGGTTTTTTTTTTTTTTTTGGCTAAGATTGTAGAGGTTAGTTTGCTAGTAAATTAAATAACAACTAAAGGGATTGTCGCTGCTCTATCAACTCGAAATCTTATCATTTCCCTCATCACACCATAAGGTGTGACTACAAAACCAGTGAGCTAAATTCAATTCTTATTAGTTGATGTTTGATGAGGACTTTAATGTCGTATAGGAATTTTGTTCAATTCTACTTGGTTTATTGATCTCATATTAGATTTTAATTAAATAAATAAAATGTGTAGCGGAATTGATATTATTTCTAATATGATTGTGGATTCATGCTATATAATACCACACACTCACTATAAAAAGTCTCGAATAATAGGGATGCAATTCGGACGAATTCAAATAGGTTGAAAGGATGTTCAAATTTAGTCCGAGTTGTGTTAAAAGCTATCCAGGCTCGTCTAGGCCTGAATTTTAACCCAATGTCGTTTGTCTAAGCCTGACCCGAGTTATGTCCAAATTGCACATAAATTAGATTTTTTTTTTTGGTTTAGTTAAGTTAATTAATTTGTTAAAATTAGAATCTACTTTTTATAAAATTATTAATAATATCAAACCAAATAATTTATAAAATATGAAAGATATAAGAATTGAAGAATTGATATGCCATTACCGTCTTTACAATTTCTGAGTGAGAAAATAAAAATGTAAGCTTTTCTTATTTATATGTATATTTAATATTTATATATATCATTTGTGTGGTGTCTTTGCCCAAGTTTACCCAAATTTAATTTGGACTATTA